CCTTGGTACCGGATGCCCCAACCTCTTACTCGGTCCACAATATCTGTCTCCATTCTCCGTTCTCCTTTCCTTTCTTTGACCTCCTCCATTTTAGCCGTAACCGTTCCTCGGTGGTCGGTCTTTTGCTCTCCTTCTTTACCCGCTTTGACCCTTGCCGCTGCACTCGTTGTTGGTTGTTCCTCGGTGCTCTGCTCTTCTGCGTTTGTCACCACGATCGCCGGTGTTGAGCTTCTAGCCGGACTTTTCTCCTTCCTGTACTTTTCCGCAAGTTCTGTGAGTCTCAGTACCGTTGTCTCCGTGTGATCCGTTCTCTTAACGAAAGCCGCTAGTAACCGCCTTAGATCCTCGGTCTTTCCTGCGATGTTTAGCCCAAATTCTTCCGCGTACTCCGTTAGCTCACTCTTCGATGCAAGGTATACCCAGCTCGACATTACTCCCACGGTATCGGATCTTTTACTTACAACCACTTTAACCTGTTCGGGCGCCAATCTGTAACGTCCTGTCGTCCACGGGTAGTCAGCGGGACGTCCAGGGTCTGTGCAGATATATTTATTTGGTTCAGGCGTGGTTGCTGTAAGAGATTTTCCCCGATCCGTTTGCCCCCCAGGGAGAACTCGAGAGGGAAATACAGTAAAGAGTAAGAGTACGGTTTATTGACGGAATGTTACAGAGAGGTAAATTGATCAGGATTTCGGCTGTGCTGGGGACCCACAGGATGGCTCGGCCGCCGGGACAGATCGTGTCCGTGAATCCCGGGTGACGGTGGGCGTAGGCTTCTCGCGTCTGGGTGGGTCTTCTCGCGTCTGGATGCCGTCAGCTGCAGCTTGTGCCTGGGGAAGAGGGAGAAGAGAGAGGTTGGCTCTGTTCGAGGTGGCGGGTGGTTGTTGGCCGCGCAGGTCCGTATGCCGTCCGTCGCGTGGGTTCGCCAGTCGGCTCGGGGTGGAAGTGGGGCTCGAAGAATCTGCACGGAGAAGTTGTTGTCTTGGCCTCGGAAGTCTGCCAGGAGAAGGGTGGTTTGGGACTCGAAAGTCTGCCAGGAGAAGTGTGGTTTGGGACTCGAAAGTCTGCCAGGAGAAGTGTGGTTTGGGACTCGAAAGTCTGCCCGGAGAAGTTGTTGTTTGGGACTCGAAAGTCGGCCTGGAGAAGTGTGGTTTGGGACTCGAAAGTCTGCCCGGAGAAGTGTGGTTTGGGACTCGAAAGTCTGCCGGAGAAGTGTGGTTTGGGACTCGAAAGTCTACCGGAGAAGTTGTTGTTTGGGACTCGAAAGTCTGCCGGAGAAGTGGGGTTTGGGACTCGAAAGTCTGCCGGAGAAGTGTGGTTTGGGACTCGAAAGTCTGCCGGAGAAGTGTGGTTTGGGACTCGAAAGTCTGCCAGGAGAAGTGTGGTTTGGGACCCGAAAGTCTGCCGGAGAAGTTGTTGTTTGGGACTCGAAAGTCTGCCCGGAGAAGTGTGGTTTGGGACTCGAAAGTCTGCCGGGAGAATTGGACCCTAAAGTCAGCAGAGATTTGGACCCTAAAGTCAGCAGAGAGGTGGACCCTAAAGTCAGCAGAGATTTGGACCCTAAAGTCAGCAGAGAGGTGGACCCTAAAGTCGGCAGAGATTTGGACCCTAAAGTCAGCAGAGATTTGGACCCTAAAGTCAGCAGAGATTTGGACCCTAAAGTCAGCAGAGATTTGGACCCTAAAGTCAGCAGAGATTTGGACCCTAAAGTCAGCAGAGATTTGGACCCTAAAGTCAGCAGAGATGTGGACCCTAAAGTCAGCACCTAAAGCGGCAGAGATTTGGACCCTAAAGTCAGCAGAGGTGGACCCTAAAGTCGGCAGAGATTTGGACCCCAAAGTCAGCAGAGGTGGACCCTAAAGTCGGCAGAGATTTGGACCCTAAAGTCAGCAGAGGTGGACCCTAAAGTCGGCAATGGTTTGGACCCTGAAGTCAGCGAGGAGGAGGGAGGGGGGTTAGCGGGGAGGACTACGACTAACTACTATGTATTGGGCGGAACCTGGATTTACCTGGTTCCCGAAAAAGTGACTTGGCTGCTTGGGTGATTACGATCGCAATCAGCGGCTGAGTGACTTCTCCAGTGTCGTGGCCCGCTTTATATAGGGCTCGACGAGGCCCTAGTGTGGCCAGCTCCCTGGTCGGTTTTTGCCTTCGATAGTGTGCCCGGCCGTCGTATAGCCAGTGTGGCCGTCCGTTGATCGTGCGCGCGCGCGCTTTTGATTTGAATTTGCGTGTGTCTTCCCTTTCCCTCCCTTTCGATTGAACTCTTCATGTTCCCTTGTTTTTTTTGGGGTTTATTGCAGTCACTTCATTTCTTTTGTTTTCGGTTCACATTTGCGTTCTTATTGCCTATTAATTCATGTTTCTTTTGGTTTCTTTACTTCATTTTCTTTTGGTTTTCTTTTTCCTTTTTCTGTTTACATTTGTGTTCTTATTGCCTATTACTTCTCCATGTTTCTTTTCTTTCGTTTTTTTTTTTTTACCACCTTACAATATTCTATTCTTATTTATTATACTTTGTGCGCCTCACAAAGTTTCTGCCCTAGAAATTTCGGTGTCCTTCGACATCCGACTCTCCATACGTTCCGACTTAGAAAATTTTCTCTAAGTGGCGGAACCGAAAATTTTTCAAACATGACGTATCCGAATGGGTCTTTAGGCCATATTGTTGACGTCTAAAGTTCGTAAACCCCATGTCCCTGCTCGGGGGCCATTCTGTAAGGAAGTTCGACGGCTGGGGTAAGCCTCAGTCACGTCCAAGGTCCTCTTTAACAGAAAAATTTGTAAAGATGTGGGACAAAGTGTTTTGACGCGCGGTAAACTGACGTGAGATGGTGGCTGTCAGTTACCGGGATACGCAGCCAGAAAAATGGCTGATTCGGTCTCTGCAATAGAGCGAAATACTCGGCGGAGCGCGTTTTGGGTCGGGCCCATAGCAGACGCTATAAGGAGACCGAGAGGGGGGTCGATTATGGGGACCACCGCTTCCTAGGGCAGAGTTTATGGCCTAAAAATCTAGGCATTTTGGGAAAATATTCTACGTGAGTCATGGCCAACGTGATCTTGGGTCGTTCCCCGCGAGCTGGACTCGATTTGAGCCGAAAATTATACTTAAGAGAGCTTTTCTTGAATTTATTTAATTTTTCCTCATTTTAAATTTCTCTGCATGTTATTTTCCAGTGTGGGCAGCGTACGGCCTCTCGAAAGTGGCGGTCAGTGATTAGATTTTCCGCGAGAGCAAAAATATATTTAAATAGAATTTTCTTAAATTTTTATTATTAAAGTTTGGAGTAAAATTTTCTCCCAGTGTGGGCAGCGTACGGCCTCTCGAAAGTGGCGGTCAGTGATTAGATTTTCCGCGAGAGCAAAAATATATTTAAATAGAATTTTCTTAAATTTTTTTATTATTAAAGTTTGGAGTAAAATTTTCTCCCAGTGTGGGCGAAACTCAGCCATTCCCCGCAAGAACCGAAATGTAAATTGTAAGGAAGCGTCTGGGCGGCCGGGGTGATCCTCAGCGGCCCAGAGTCCCCTCACAAAATTTATAATTTGTGAGACACCCAGAACGGAGAAGCGCCGATAATTTCTGGCCAGCTAGCGGGAAAAAAATGGGGAAGAAATATATTGATACGGGATTATTTGACCAGGGAAGGCTGGGCGACCCGGAAAAATCCAGCGGTCAAGCCCGCGTCAGCGCTCGGAGGGATCCAGCAGCGAGACGAGTGGCCCGGAGTTATCCAGCGGCCACGCCCACGCCCACGCTCGGAGTGATCCAGCGGCGGGGCGCCTTCGGGGCAGGACAAAGGCTCGGAGGGATCCAGCAGCCCAGGCCTGTGTCCACGCTCGGAGGAATCCAGCAGCGGGACCACTGACTCGGAGAAAAATCCAGCAGTCAGCCCCGAATCCTTGCCCGGAAGAATCCAGCGGCAGGATTGCTCAGAGGGCTCGGAGAAATCCAGCAGCCACGCCCACGCCCGCGCTCGGAGTGATCCAGCAGCGCGGCGTCCGTTGGGACAGGACAAAGGCTCGGAGAGATCCAGCAGCCGATGCCTGCGTCCACGCTCGGAGGAATCCAGCAGCGGGACAGTTGGTTCGGAAAAATCCAGCGACCAACCCCAGATCCTCGCCCGGAAAAAATCCAGCAGCGGGATGGCTCTCTGAGGGGCAGGGGAAAAAAGGGGGACCGGCGGCCTCGCGGCAAGTCCGGGCTCGGAAAGATCCAGCAGCCACGGGCTCCTGTTCCCGTCCGGCTTTCGCCCGCACCCGGAATTACTCCGATGCTACGGGAAAAGCGGGAGGGGAATGGTCACTGCCGGCGAGGGGCGCCGGCCCGCAAACGAAGGCGGGGAAAACGCACAATTTTATGCAAGCACATGATTTTATTTCTCACTTATAGTTACTGTGGCAAGGGGCGGGGTAGATCCCCAATATATTTAATGGCCGGCGGCCATGCTCACCCACGATTCGAAGCGGATGCCTTCGAAGGTCCTGCAGGATGTTTTTACGAACACGCGGTTTTGCACTTAGACTTATCACTCTGGAGCGGCACGACTTGCGCGGTTAAGAATCAGGCGAGAATTAAAATTGACCTAATTCTTGAGTGTGGCCGTGACCTAGTTTTGCCGGCAGCGCTGCCGCGATCGATCTTGGCGTTGCCAGGCTCTGCCACTATCGCCGACAGCGTTGCCACTTGCGCGCGTAATGTTAAGGCTTAATGCTTGTTTTGAATCTCCCTTCGCGGGGTTTATTCGGCTCCATGCCGTTGGCTTCGTGCCGGGTGGTGTGTGTGTGTGTGTGTATGGCTTCGTGCCGGGTTGTGTGTGTGTGTGTGTGTATGGCTTCGTGCCGGGTTGTGTGTGTGTGTGTGTGTGTGGTGTGTGTGTGCTTAATTTTTAGTCTTAATTTTAGTCTTAATTTTAGTCTTAACTTTAGCTTAGTTTCTACATAGATATATATATATACAGTTTAGTGGCGACCGATCGTGTCGTCACACCTCCTTCTCACTTCCGGGTGGGGTACAGGAAGACCCGTACGTGGTCGTCTCGATTCAATTGCACCCGGAAGCGTTGGCCCTGCTCCTCCTCTAGGTAGCGCCGGGCCCTCCGTCTGGCGATCAGGAGTCTCTGCTGGATCCTCCGGATGAGCGCGGCGGGTAGCGTGCCGTTGGGCGTGCTCCAGCCGTCAGGAACCGGTAGCCAGCGGGCGTGACCCTGGCGCTCGGGTGGTAGCTCCTCCTCGGACGAGGACCCGCTGGGACTATCTGCCCAGGGCGCGCTTCGTCGGCGGCCTCGGCGCGCTGGTGCCGGCGTGGGTGGCCGATCCCTGGCTGAACGTGGCTCTGCGTCTGTTGGCTGTACTGGCCCGGCGGAAGACGAGCCCAGCTCGTCACTCAGCTCCTCGGCTCGGCGTCGGGCCACTGCCGCGGCGTACTCGTCGGGTGTGGGTAGCGGGGGGGCGCGGCCGTACCACGGCGGGTCTCCCGTTGGCGGAGTCGTCGTTAGCGGAGTCCTCGCTGGTCGTCAGATCGACGAGTCGGCTTGTCGTGGGGCCATCTGTCCGGCGAGGAGCGGCGGCGGCGTGGTACCCGCGCGACGTGGTCGGCGGGGACTGGCTGGGCGTCGAGGCCGCACAAGTGGGTATTGGGCAGCTGGTGGCATACGGGCCCGGCCCGAAGATATCCTCGTATGCCGGCGGCGGGGTGCCCGGCGGCCTGAAGTCTGGCTCGGCGTCGTCGGAGTCCGAGATCTGGATGATCTCGGGCTCTACTCCCTCGTCGCTGGAGATCTCTTCATACTCCGGCAGGAACTGCGGTGACGGGGTCCTTGGCTCGTTGGCGGATGGGTTGGAGACGGGGCGCATCGGGAGCTCTACCCCGTCCTCGTCGGGAGACTCTCCGAAGAGGTCCTCCAGATCCAATCCCTCTGCTCCCTGGGCCATCTCCTCCAGCACGCCGGGTGGAAGGTCGCCTAGGCACTCTCGTAGCGCCGCTTCCACCTCGGCGTCTGGATCTGGCGCCGCTACAGCCCGTGACGGGACCAGCGGGGCTATGGCCTGGACGGTATGTGTCCCAGGCGCTGTAGAGGTCGGGCCGGTGCGTGGCGCGTGTCGCGGTGAGGGCAACTCGCGGCGTCGCCCGTGGTGATGAGGCTGTTGTGGCGGCCCGGCCGGTGTGCGGGCGCGTTGACGGGGCGGCTGCTTGGAGCACTGCCCGTGGCGATGAGGCTGTTGTGGCGGCCCGGCCGGTGTGCGGGCGCGTTGACGGGGCGGCTGCTTGGAGCACTGCCCGTGGCGACTGCCCCTTGTTGCCGGTGGGCGTCGTAGGCAACTGGCCAGCGTGTGGACGCGTCGACGGGCCGGTTGTCTGTGGCGCTGCCCGTGGTGGCTGTAGCGGGACCAACGGCGGCGGCCCCTGGTCCGCGTCTGGCTGCTTGCCCTGGTCGGCAGGCGCGCGGGCGGCTTCGGTTGGCCGTGGTCGTGGCGGGGTGGTGTCCACCCGTATTGGGCCGAAGCGGTGGTCCGGCGGGATGTCCACCTGCTCCGCGGACGGGATTCGCCTGCGGATTCCGGCCACGCTGAGTGGCGCGAGGACGGAGGCTTGGGGCCGATGCCCCATCTGGAGGCCATCTAGTAGGTCTTCAAGGGCGAGCCCCATCCAGGCGTCGTCCCTGGGTGACGACATCGTGACGTGGTCTGAGTTGGTGGTGATGTGGCCGTGCTCGGGATCGTGGGCGGTATGCAAAGCGCGTGTGATCAGCGCTGCCGTGCGCTGGATCCTCGAGGATGCGTGTCTTTGCTGGCGGTTGCCTGTGGCCGGTTGGCGATGGTGCACCGTGTGCGTTTGCGCTGCGTGGTGATCGATGTGTCTGTGGAGAGAAAAGAGCAAAAGAAACGGCGTTGTTAGGGGGCGCTTTCGAAGGACCCTACCCAACCGAGAGTTGCTCGATTTCTAAGTTTTGCGAAAGAGAGGGCGCATGTTTCCCCCTAGGGGGTAGGAGCGTTGGACAGGCGCGCCTGTCAGCAAGTGGCCCCTCTGAACATGGCCATCTTTCGTTCTGGGCGTGGCGTAGTGGCGGCGGCGTGGAGTGGCTTAGTGGCGGCGGCGTGGAGTGGGGCGTGGCTCTCCCAGTGGCTCGTGTCGGCGGCGTCTGACTGCTTTGGGTTCTGCGTGTCCTCGGCGTGGTCTTCCTCGTAGTCGCTGTCATCGATCGCGCCTTCGGCGTGGTCATCTGCTTCTCCCTGTCGGTAGGGTTTCAGCTGCCCCAAACTCGCAGTACGACGTCGGCGGCTGCCGGGTACGTGTAGCTGGACGATGTTTGGTGAAGGGAACTTCGCCACTCGGAAGGGTCCCTCGTATCTCGCGGCCAGTTTGGCGGCGAATCCTTCAGCCGCGTTGGAGAGTGCGTGGCGTCTCACCAGCACCAGAGATCCTACAGGCGGCTTCCAAGTTCGCCGGCGCAGATTATAGTGTCGGCCCTGATCCGCCGTAGCGCGTTCAGCGTTGTCTCGCACCACTCGGAAGATGTCCTTCAGCTGCTGGCTTCGGTCCGTTGGGGCCACCTCTGGGGTGCCTCGTCCTGGTGTGAGCTCGTCGTATAGAGTCCGTGGCAGCCTCGGTTCTCGCCCTTGCGTCAGGAAAGCTGGGCTAAATCCCGTTGTGTCGGAGACACTGCTGTTGATGGCAGAGATTTCAGGCAGCAACTGGTCCCATGTGTTCTGCGGGCCTCCATCCAGGTACTGGGCGATCATCGTCTTGATCGTCCTATTGGCTCTCTCCGTCGGGTTCTGCCTTGGCGTATACGGCGCCGTGTGCTGCAGCTCCATGCCCAGCGATTTGCAGAAGTTCTGAAAAGATCGCCCTGTGAACTGCGTGCCGTTGTCGCAGACGAAGGTCCTCGGCACTCCGAATCTGCTCAGGATCCGTTCCCGGAAGGCGCGTTCAAGCTGTGCTCCAGTGGCTTTCCGCAGTGGCACCAACTCCACCCACTTGCTGAAGGCATCTAGAAACACCAACAGCATGGTGTTGCCTTGCTTCGATCGTGGGAGCGGTCCAACGAAGTCCGCGCAGAGAACCTGGAATGGCTCGTCGACCTGGCGGGTGAACATCATCCCCGCAGGTTTCTCCTGGCTTACCTTGAACCTTCTGGCAACTCGTACAGTGACGAACGTAGCGCGCGACGTCGCGAAACAAACCCGGCCAATAGTATCGCTGAGCCACGCGATTGCTAGTTTTCCGGATTCCCAAGTGTCCGGCGGTTGGGTGGTCATGGCATTCCTCGAGGACGCGTTGGCGGTACTCCGACCCCACGCACAGCTTCCATGGCGTGTACTCTTCCTCTTCTGGCCGAAGACCAATGCGGCGGTAGAGTTGTCCGTTCTCCTCCCTGTAGTCCGGGAACTTGGCGGGTTCTGTCCGCATCTTCTGGAGCATCTTCTGGATCCAGCGGCAGTTGACTCCTTGTACCTGTGCTTGCTGCGCGGTAGGCAGCGGTTGGCGAGAAAGGGCGTCGGCCACAAGATTTTGGGCCCCTTTCCGGTAATGGACGTCATACTGGTACTGCTGCAACTCGAGAGCCCAGCGTGCAATCCTGCCCGTCGGGTTATCGATCGAATTCAGCCATTTCAGCGAGTGATGATCCGTCACCACGTCGAAACGGTACCCCTCGAGGTAGCATCGCATCTTCCTGATTGCCCAGACGATGGCGAGGCACTCCTTCTCCGTAACGGAGTAGTTCCTCTCGGCCGGGTTGAGCCGGCGGCTGGCGTAAGCGACAACTCTTTCCTGTCCCTCGATGGTCTGCGTCAATACGGCTCCTATTCCGTATTCGCTGGCGTCCGTCTGTAGAACGAACTTCTGGCCGAAATCCGGACAGGCCAAGACCGGTGCCTTCGTTAGTAGCGCCTTCAGCTCCTGAAAAGCGTGATCCTGTCTCGATGTCCACTCCCACTTTTGGCCTTTCTTCAGCAACGCGGTCATGGGTTCGACCACGTCGGCGAAGTTTGGAACAAAGCGGCGATACCAGGATGAAATCCCAAGGCACCTCCGGAGCTCCTTTAGGCAAGTTGGTGGCTTCAGCTCGCGGATCGCGGCAACTTTGTCCGGATCTGTATGGATACCCGCCTCGCTGATCACATGTCCCAGGTAGACGATGTGTCGTTGGAAGAAGTGGCACTTCCCTCGATTCAGGCGCAAGTTCGCATTGCGCAGGCGTCGGAAGACCTCTTGAAGGTTGGCGACGTGTTCCTCCAGCGTTGAGCCTATGACGATGATATCGTCCAGGTAGGCGAATGCGTGCGGCTCCATGTCAGGCCCGATGACTGTATCCAAAGCGCGCTGGAACGTTGCAGGGGCGGAATGAAGACCGAACGGCATCACCCGCCAGTGGAATAATCCTCTGCCGGGAACGGTGAAAGCCGTACACTCGGCTGCCCGGGGCTACTGGTATCTGCCAGTATCCATTCTTCAAGTCCAGCGTCGAGATGAACTTGGCGTTCCGGAGGCGTTCCAGAATCTGGTGAATCCTCGGGAGCGGGTAGGCATCGGGAACCGAGTTTTCGTTGAGTTGACGGTAGTCAACACACATGCGTACGTCTCCGTTTTTCTTCGCCGCAATCACAATGGGCGCGCTGTGCGGGCTCTTCGAGGGCTCGATCCGCCCGTCTCGAAGAAGCTCGTCGATCTGTTTGTCGATGATGGCCCTCATGGCCGGGTTCCTCGGGAAATATCTCTGCTTCAGTGGCCGATCGCTGCGCATGATGATGTGGTGCTCCGCTATGTGGGACACCCCTGAAAGATTCTCGAACAAGGCCAACTCCTTCTCCAGGAATTCCTCTACCCAGGGCTCTGGGTAGCTGTGGGTCTCGAGCTCTTCCGCCTCGGCTGAATCTGGATCCCCCGCGGGGTGACTCACCGAGTTAATGTTTCCGCAGAGAGGCGAGTCTTGCGCCGGCGTTTCCTCAACGTGGTCCTGGAAACGGACACGCTTCTTGGAGGTGCGAAATGGGTTTCGCTGCGCGGCGGTGGCATCCGCCACAGGCAAGACGTGGCTCCAACTTGGCGGCTGGTTTCCCGTCGTGGACGAGTCTGTGCCCGAGATGACTGCCGACCTCCGGGAGGATGTGCTCTCCTCTCCGGCAGGCGTGGTGCTGGCGGTCTCCCGGTTGGTTTCGGGGGCTGTGCCCCGAGGGCGGGCGCGTGGCGCCGGTTGCGGTGGTTCTCTGGCCGTTGCTGGTTCCGTGTTGCTGGAGCGTGGCTCCGTCGTCGCTGGTTCCCGGCGGGCAGAGTGTGACTCGGCCGGCGGGCTTCGTGGTTGAGAGCGTGGCTCTCTCGGCTGCGGCGTAGGGCGTGGCCCTCCGTGAGGGTTGGAGTCTGGCTCCCTCAAAGTGGACAGAGCGTGGCTCCTCGAAGCGGACAGAGCGTGGCTCTTCCCTCCGGCGTCTTGCGTTGGCTCGTTCTTGAGCCCATGGTGGCTCCGTGTACTGGTCTGGCATCAGGCTGAGGGTCTGTCCCCCGCACTGCATGGTGGCTCCGATCCTGCAAAGAAAGTCCATGCCTAGGAGAACGTCGTCAAGGACTTCGCTCATCACTAGCAGGACGGTTGGAGCGCGTTTGCTCCCCAGGTGTATATTGGCGGCGAGGGCCCGGGTCAGGTCTCCGGCATGTCCCGTCGGCCAACTTGACTTGTGTGCGAATATCTCGCGAGTTGTCCGCGTTGCCTAGCTCTCGGGCTAGGTCTTCGCTGATGAAGCTATGCGTAGCTCCGGTGTCCAGGGTGGCCACGAATTCTCGTCCTTCCATGGTGATGGTGGCGCGAATCCGTCCCTGGTGTTGGTGGAGGGTCCCTCCTACTGGCTGCGTGGGTTGGACGGGTTCCCCGGGTGATTCCCGGTCACTCGAGGCCCGTTCCCGTTTCCCGATGCTGCACGCCGACAGCAATCGATAGTCCGGGTTCCTCTGCGTCCGCAGTCCCAGCAGAAAATGATGCGGGGGTTCCGGCACTCGGCCGAGAAGTGTCCCGGTTGGCCGCAGTTGCGGCAGGCGTCGCGAATGTTGACTGGCTCCGTTGTGACAGGAGAGGCTGTGCTCTGGCTCGTGTTCGCGTTCCGGCTGGTACCTCCGTTGAAAGGGTTGCCCACTGGGGCTGCTGGTGGGGCACGGCGCGGCGTCTGCCCGGCTTCCGTCCCATAGTTGCGTCTGGCTTCCGGTCGAGGGCTCGGAGAGCGATGATCCTGGCCTCCTATCCCGGCTGCGCGTCACCTCGTAGTCCACTACCAGGTGGGTAAGCTCCGCCAGGGTGCGGAAATCCTGTCTTCGGGTGAACAGCTGGTACTCCGGCAGCATGTTGTCGTAGACGCGCTCCAACTCCCGGTCCGGAGAGAATCCAGCTCGGCGCATCTGCAAGCGAAGGTCCACTAAGTATTCCTTGAACGGCTCGTTGGGTCGCTGCAGGTGCGTCCGGATCTCGTCCTCCAGTCGTTGATAATACCGCGGTGGCAGGAAAAATCTAGAAATTCGCGGCGAACCTCGGCCCAGCTGGCCTGTTGGAGTCCGCTCGTGCGGAACCAACTCTGGCGCGACCGGATAGCAGCACCACCAAGGCTTGAGCCAGATATCTCCGGTCGATCCG